AGGCGGTGGTGGTGAGATTCGAACACTCGTCCTCCGGGGGTGATCATTTGGTGATATGATCATCGGGCCACTACCACCTATGTATGCATTTTCATGTGCCGGTTTTGGCTGCTGTCTTTAGGCTGTCTATTGAGATAAAAGAGCCGAAGATTGGAATGCTTGAAGCAGAACCAAGATGAAACTAGAGAATTCGTAAAAACCGAGGTTGCAGACTACATAGGCAACGCTAAAAAACAGGTCATAGACAATTAGACACAACAACAACAACAACAACAACAACAAAAATAGTGAGTAAGAAATTGTCATGACCAACTTGTTTTTTTCTTGTCATTTGATTGGTTTTAACTTGGTCTAATTGCATCAGGATGATTAGACGATGGAAAGAATCTGGCTTGATTGATCACGAGGGCCATGAAAGTTAGATTGATTGAACCAAAGGCTTTTGGGTTACAGAGATCAGGGGTCAGTTATTTTTATCCCGATCACCTCGGCTATTGGTTAAGAGCGCAGTTGGACACCGTTGTATTTCCAAGCGGAAATTTGTCGTGTATATTATAACAAATGAAGCGTGAACTGAAACTCTGGGAAGCACTGAACAGCAGCTGTTTGGACCTGGTTGGGTCTCATCAGCAGTCCCAATTCGTCGTCAAATCCTCCATTACTTACATGAAGATATCAAAGCCTTACACTACAGCAAAGGTAATGATAAAAGTCGATGCAGTTGAAATCGCTACCAAAAAGTTATTTCAAATCAACAATTTAAACCAGGTGATAGTTCAAATATTTTGATTCATTACCAGTGATTTTTCGATTCATTTTTATAGCCACATCTCTGTTCGTTCACAGACTCTCCCCCCCCCTGCCAGCCCCAAATCCACAAAAAAACATGTCGGAATTACGACCGGGTCTACGGGAGACAAACGAACCATTAGATCTCACTGTAGGCAATTCAATTGTCTCATCACAACTTTGTCTTAGATCACATTTCCACCAGCCACCAGTCACATGGAGGAAAACGAGTCGAACTCGTCTAGTGCTTTGGATGGAAGTGAAGAACAATTTAAATCAGTTCGAACGAAAGTTAACAATGGAGATGTTGCGTTCGGGGTGAGTAAAATCCCTTTTTGTTCTCAATTTGTGCTGTAATTGTTTTCGGTATTTTACCCGTTTTGATGTATTCGATCAAATATCATCAACATCACCACCACCAGCAGCACCCGCATTCGCCATTTTATTTGAAGCTGATCACTTTCTGTCACCATTTACAGTTACGTCATCCTGATTTATGGAAATGGATAAAAGAATCAAAGAATGTTTCGCACGCCGATTGTCCACTCGCATACGGAATTTCTGATCTGTAATATTGTCTTACAGTTGTCTTGCATTGGGAACACCTAAAGTTCAAATTAGGCAGTTTACAGGTAGCCCTGTTAACTCGGTCAAAATGATCTCATTCCATCAAAGGTTACTCAGAATGATTTGACTTAAACTTGTCTAACCTGAAATACTATGTTAGGATTAGGGGTGGAATTTCGATTTTAAATTAAAAATGAAAACTTCAAAATTAAAGCCAAACACTGAGAGTTCAAATAGGAAGCTTTTAAAACTGTTCATTTTCCAAGGATAACGAAACCCGATTCTTAAATTAGACTATTTCTATAATTGAAACCGGAATTGTAGACAAAAATATGATTCCGGTGATTTTACTCTCAAGCCTTTTAGTTGCAGAATGGACAACCATTAACCATGCACTTCCGTGCGTCGACTTTGGTTACCGTTTTAGGGCTGCTCTTTTGGATGAACAGTAAATGAAAGAAAGAATGGGAAGTTGAAAGTGGAGTCGAACAGAAAATGGTTACAAAGATAGTGAGACACTGCACGACCGCCACTGCTTAGAACACAGCCATACTAATCAGTATCTCTAGCCGCCGATTAACACGATTTCAATGTCCCCATTCAGGTGGCCTCGCGCGATCTATATAATCGAGTCTCGGGGATGTGGTTTTTCGAATCTTCATGCCCGTTCTTGTTTTGACCACTTTTGGCTTTTTTCCATCTACCATTTGCATCGAGAAACAATGTGTGCCGTGGTAACCTATTTGGTGAAATGCGTAAAACATATCCCAAAGAACATAATTTATGGAGGTCGAACATTTGCTCCAGTAGTGGACCGCGGTTGGCTACAACTCGACAGCTAACCTCAGCATTGCTCGTCCGACTGTTCCACCACGCTTGTGCAGAGCTGCGTAGACAACGATATTCAAACACCGACAGTCTGTCTTCATCATGTTTCCTTAATGGCCAAGTTTTTGCGCCTTATAGCAGAACTGGCCTAATTGCCGCAGCATACATTCAACCCCTCACAGACAACCGGATGTCGCGACGGCGCCACATATGTCTTGTGTTGGAAAATGCCATCGAGCCTTCTGAATGCGAGCTGACATCTCATCCGTGATGCGTCCATCACATGAGATATGATCACCCAAATTAGAGTGAGGCTGCGTGCCGAGCCAACCCAGTCTTGTAGTAACATTTTACACTTTCAAGGCTCAAAATGCATATTGAACATGGTTACACCAACACTTAAACTATCCAGAAATGCTTGCAACTTACTTGGGTCTTCAATTATTAGCACAATTTCATCTGCGTACTCTAGATCAGACAGTCTGCCACCTGGAAGTAAATTGATACCGCTATCCTCACACGGGGATAAGACATTTTCATAATCAATTTATCACAGTTTAGAGTATCAAGCTTGGATTAACCCATTCAATTTTTCATAGGCACCAGGCGCTCTTGATGTTCTTGCGTGTGGGTTTCACTCCTTGGGAGATCGTTAATTCCCCACGAGGTAATTGCATTCCAATGCAAGGGAAATGTCTGTGATAATCAACAAAGAGCACCGAGACAGCTGTTTTGTTCTGTTTGGGACTCGTCAGTGCAGTTCGTACATTTTTTTGTCCCTGTGAGGACTCGAGTCCTGCGAGAGTATTTAATTCTACGCTCACACATAAAGCTCCTCTCCTAAAAAAATCTGAATGAATTAATTCCTTCTGTCCCATAGCGATTCCAAGATTTTCAATAGTAACTCTTTTCAATGCTTGCTGCTAACCGCTTCGGTAACTATCTGTTTCAGCAGGGCTCTATCATTCGAATCGTGCCGTTCTATTTCTCCGAACTTACTTTGCGTTCAAACTGGCTTGGCTGGACATGAGAACCCTAGTGCGTATAGGACAACAAGCAGTCTCGTGACCTGAGCAGTCTAGAGACTGATGTGTGCTGCCTGTCGGAAACGAGCATTGAGAATTGTAACTCAGTAATGCGAATAATGCTTTCCTTCAATCCAAAACAAGTGTTTCATCTGCGCTTTTACAGGGACCCTATTACTTCAGCGTCTGATCAAGCAGACATTAATATTGTTCTAAGCGTCAGGCCCGAGGATGCCCTATTTATTTGGTCCCTGGTCGGTAGCCGACTATTCCCAGCGAGGCTCAGATGATCATTTAAAAGCTAAAAGCAGAAATCAAACGCAAAGTGCTTATTCGTGTTTCTGCACACGCCATCACACGCCGTAGCCTAGATACAGTCAAATATGCCTTCTATCGCATCTTACCTGAGCTTGTTCTCAAAGCATCTAAGACGGATATCGTGATCCTGGCCGGAGACTTAAACACACGCGTTGGCAGTCTGTCACCCGATGAGATCAGTGGTCATCGGTGGTCATCATGAAACTGTTGGCTGTCGTTCAGATAATGGGACCAGATTTCTTACCATCTGCTCAGAACACGGTCTGTTCCTCGTTGGTACGAATTCCGGACACCCAAAGCGTCACCTCTCCGATTGGTGTAATCCGTCTTTAACACAGACGTGGACCCAGATTGATCACATACCAACTAACTACAGACAGTTAGGGTGTGTAAAACACTGTCATTTGTGTTGTTCTCTCTGCTTGGACTCTGACCACGCACTGGTTTGTACCAAGTTGTCTATACTATTATATGCCATTTTTCACACACGTCTGAGTCCTGATTATGTGTCAAATTGGCTGCAAATAATGAGATACAAACAGCTTGATGTCACCAAGCTTTCCGATCCGATTGTGCTGACAGGCTAATAAAATGAGTTTGCTGCAATTTTATTTACTACTCCACAAAATTTTGTAGATCAACACTCGAAGATTATTCGAAACGCATCGGACTGAACCAGTTTGCACAGTTAAGATATAACTTTCCCGAGTCATGAATCACTGGATCTTCTTCAACTCTCTTTGACTTCTTGAAGCGCATCGAGCGATCCCCGCAGAGAGCCTGTAAAGCGAACAGCGCCTCTCTCTCTGAAGCGCAAATTCACGAAACGTTTGACAGAGGGCTGAGAAGCCTGGCGGACAATGCGTGCAAATGAGATGAAATCAGCAACTAGGCGTGGAAACACCCGGCAACTGTTCCAATTCATCCGTGTCACTGGCCCCAAAATCCAGTATCTATTAGTCATATTATGTCACATACGGCTGAATCCAGATCATGTGCCAAACAAATCATGCTACCATTATCTTTATGAAAAATAAAACGTTCCATGATTTGCATGCGGGTTCAATACTACAAGATTGACCGGGTAAAGGAGAGGGAATTTTCTTGAGGAATCCACAACCGAAGCCTTCGGTTAGTCGAAGTTAAACTCGCAAGGCAGCTTGGTAGTATGTGAAAACCGCAGTCCATTTAGATCCGGTGTCCAGTTCATCGGATCATA